GAAGGATGAAGACACCATCTGTTGGGATGGAGGAGGCGAGGGGAGAAGGCAAAGGGATGGAGATACACAGGAATGGGGTCAGAAGGATGGAGACCTAATATGGAGAGGTTAAAGGATTCAAGGACCTTGATGGAGGACGATGGGATGAAGGAAGATGGGAACCAGCTGCAGGGATGGAGGGAGGAAGGTCACACATGGGAATGTAGGATTGAAGAACCAGCTGCAGGGACAGAGCGATGCAGACCCAGCCATGGAGATGGAGAAAGATGGGAATCAACCATGGGAATGGAGGGATGCAGACCTGGCTGGGGGATGTAGGGATGCAGATCCAGCTGTGGGAGTGGAAGGATGGATACAGGCCCAGCCACACGGACAAAGGGGCACCAGAGGCAGCCCTGAGCAGGGTGAGGGGTGGTGGCTGCAGGTTGGGCTGACTCTGCCCTGCCCCAGCTCCTGGAGATGAAGTCGACAGACCGCAAGCAGACGCTGCTGCACTACCTGGTGCGGGTGATCATGGAGAAGTACCCGGAGCTCACCGGCTTCCACACCGAGCTGCACTTCCTTGACAAGGCAGGCACAGGTAGTGCCCACGGGCCCTGGGCTGGGGGTCGAGGCAGCCCCTGGCGCCCTGAGCCTGCCCTGACCCCGCACTGCTCGCAGTGTCCCTGGACGGTGTCCTGCAAGACGTGCGCAGCCTGCAGCAGGGCATGGAGCTGACCCGCAGGGAGTTCATGAGACAGGACGACAGCCCCGTGCTCAAGGACTTCCTCAAGAGCAACTCGGAGGTGATGGAGAAGCTGCAGGCTGACAGCAAAACTGCCAAGGTGGGTGCTGGGGTGGGGTGGGGTCATTGGGGCAGTCCCCTGCATGGGGACACCCTGGGGCACCCTCTGCTCACACCTCTGCCCCATGGGAGAGGCTCCTGCTTGGGGCGTGGCTCCAGTGGGACAGGCAGGAGGGAACCGGGCAGGATGGGGAGGTGGGAGAGGCTGGAAGGAGGTGGTGGGCGATGGGCACCACTGCCCAGCCCCCAGATCAGGTGTCTCTGCCCACAGGAAGCATATGAGTCAGCTGTGGAGTATTTTGGGGAGAACCCCAAGACCAGTCCCCCCACCACCTTCTTCCCCATGTTCCTGCGCTTCATCAAAGCCTACAAGGTAGGAGGGGGCATGGGGTCCTCTGTTTCTGAGGGCTGGGAGGAGATCTGGGGCACCTGACTCCACTTTGGAGCAATCAGCAGAAGCCACAGGCAAGGCTGGGGCTCAGGAATGTCCTTGGGATGGTCAGAGATTTTGGAACTGAGTTGGGGTGAGCTGGGGGCTGTGATATGAAGAAGGAAGGGGGCTGCAGTCCTGGATTCCCCTGGCTCAGCACACCCTTCCTGCCCCTCTCCCAAGAAAGCAGAGCAGGACATCGAGCTGTGGAAGAAACAAGAGGCTGCAGCCAAAGAGGCGGATTCTGGCTCCCCTGGCAGCGAGCAGCAGCCCGAGGTGAAAGTTCCCCCATGTCCGTGTCCTGGTGGGGTCCCAGCCCCAGCCCTGGGTGGGCTGAGTGGTGGGGAAGGACTAAACAGGTCCTGGGGAGGGAGAGCTGGGTGGGAGGTGAAGGGGAGGGTACCCCATCTCCTCTGGGGTGTGATCACACCACTCAAGTGCCCTGTCCCCTCACAGCTGCCTGTCCAGAAGGCCAGGAGGCAGCAGATGGACATGATTGCTGAGCTGAAGAAGAAGCAGATGGTGAAGGAGCCGCTCATCTACGAAGGCAAAGATGGGGCCATTGAGGATATAATTTCAGGTGAGAGATGATTTCAGGTGAGCAGCCAGGTGTCCCCACATCACAGACCCAGTGCTGGGGGCTGCAGGGGCTGTCACAGGAGCTGGGTGGTCACCAAGCCCTGCCACGGGGACCAAACCTACCTGCAAGCACCTTCACGTCCCACATGGCAAAGCTACCGAGTGCTCCCTCCCCTGTCTCATATCTCTTCCTCCTCTTCTGCGTCTTCCTCCTCTCTGCTCCTCCTGCTCCTCCTCGCTGTCTCTGGATCGCTCTGCTCAGCTCTCAAAACTGTCCCTTTCACTGCCCGGACGGGCAAACGCTCGTCCCGGCTCTTCTGCGACGTGAGCTTCAACGAGGAGAGTCCTCTGTAGGTAACGTGGGGCGGCGGGGCCGGCGCAGGTGGGCGGGGGCTGCCGGGCTTCCCCCTCCCCGCCGGGATGCTCCAGGTGTGTGGCCGGGTTTGTGCCCCGCTGAACGGCAGCCCCGGGGCACCGGGATCAGCCCCGATGCGGTGCTGGGCTCCCAGAGCCGGCGGTCGGGCTCCCACGGGCTGATTGTTCGTGGCTGCTGCTCCTCCCCTTGGCTCCTCCTGGGTGTCCTCACGCCCAGAGCGGCGACTCCCGAGCAGACAGGACAAGGGGCAAGGGTTTTAAATGAACACTGGAGAGTTTTAGGTTGAAGGTTCAGAAAAAAACTCATTCCTGTGAGGGTGAACCCTGGCACAGGGTGCCCAGAGCAGCTGTGGTGCCCCTGGATCCCTGGCAGTGCCCAAGGCCAGGTTGGAGGGGGCTTGGAGCAGCCTGGGACAGTGGAAGGGGTTCCTGCCATGGCAGTGGTGGCACTGGATGGGTTTAAGGTCCCTCCAACACAAACCATTCCATGTTAACGTGGTGGGTGCGGGACCCCGGCCGTCCCGGGGGGCAGTGAAGCTCACCCGGCCCCTGCGCTTGCCCCGGTGCAGATCTGCGGAACAACCCGTACCGGCGGGGGGACAAGGCCCGCGGCAGCGCCAAGAAACGGGCGGCGGGGCAGAGCCTGCAGGCGACGCCGGACATCGTGCTGTGACCGGCGCCGTCCCTGCGGCTGCAGGAGCGGGGCAGGACCATCCTCCGGACGCGGATGGCACCGCGGGGTGTCAGTCCCTCAGCCCGGGGCTCGGCGGGGCGGGGGGACACTGCCCGCTCCGAGCTGCTGCAGCCGCTTAGCGTGCCAGCCCCGCCGTGCCTGCCTGGGCCGGGCACGGGCACCCCGCCGCTTGCTTGGCCATGTCCCCGAGCTCCTTTCCCCAGGCTGGCAGGGCTGGAGGCCCTCCTGGCTACGGACAGGGAGGGGGAAGCATAGAAAGGGCCCCAGCTTGTCCTAGAAGGAAAAGAGGGGCTGTCCCATCCCTGCCCCGGCGCTGCTCCCTCGCTCGCCGGCCGCGGGGCCAGCCCTGTGTCCCACCTCAGCTTGCTGGTGCCTTTGACTGCCGCTGCGGGAGGGGAGGAGGTGTCAGCCAGGACCACAAAATCCCCGCATATCTCCCCCGCACATCTCCCCCGGCCCGCAGAGCCCCCGAGACCCGCGTTCTCCTGCGCTGCAGAGCCAGCGAGGAGCTGCTGCAAAGCTCCCACCCCGGGCACCTCCCGGAGCCAGGGGCTGGCAGCGGTGCTATTTTACATGATTTTATAAGTCTTCCTTCTAATTTCTCTGTGCTGCGGCAGCAGGGATCGGAACACCCGCGCACAGGGTGTTCCCAAGGCTGTGGCCAGCAGCGCTGGGCTGCTCTTCGCCGCAGGGGAGGCTCCGGAGCTGCGACAATCGGGAGCAGGGACAAGTTCCTGCGAGGTGGTGGCACCTCCGCCCACCTGCATCCCCAGCATCCACCTGCACTGTCGGGGCTGGCGCCTCTGGGATAAACAGGGGCTGTCAGCCCTGCGGGCTCCCCGTTTTCTCGGGTGGGACACGCAGGAGATGCCGGCAGCCCCCGCGGGGTCCCTGCTGCCCAGAGCCCCCAGAGCCTCTCGGTACCGGACTGGACCCGACCGCCGCTCCCTCCCCTGCCCCGCTGCTGCCGAGCAACGCCGAGCCCGCAGTGCCGCAGCTGAACCCCCCGGCGCATTTACTCCATCAAACGGCCCCGCTCTCCCCATGCCAGGACGCTCCTCCCTCCTCCCGTCCTTTCTCCCTCGTCCCAGCTTTAGCCAGAGCAGCCGCTGCTTCCTGCTGTATTTAAGCCGCTTCAGCGCCGGCTCCGTGTCCGGGGAGGGATGGGAAATGAATATGTAACTTATAAATGCCTTTAAGCCAGAAATGTAAACCATTAACTGCTCATTTGTATACATTATTTTTATATACTGAAGGCCTGTTTAATCTAAAGCAGAGCTGGAAATAAAATGCCTCAGAGGATAACGGACTTGTCTGGGAGAAAGGTTTGCATGGGGGGGCGATGCTGTCATGAAGGGAGGGAGGGAGAAAAGGAAAGAAAGATGGAGCGAGGGAAGGATGGAGGGAGGAAGGGGAGAAGATGAAGGGAGGGATGGAAAAACGGAAGGAGTGGCTGTGGCTGCCCCATCCCTGGAAATGTCCAAGGCCAGGTTGGACGGGGCTTGGCACACCCTGGGATAGTGGGAGGTGAGAGGATGGAACCAGATAATCTTTAGGGTCCCTTCCAACACAATCCGGTCTGGAATTCTAGCAACAAGCCACCCACCATTTTTTTTTGAGGACAACAGCTCTGAGGTCTGTTCACAGCACAGACATGTGGGTGCATGGCAGCACAAAAAATATGTTTCAGGATAACTGTCCTCACTCAGCAGCCTGGCCACAGCCCCCCCAGCCCGCTGGGCTCATTTACCGGGAGGATTCAGCTCTGTGCAGACAAACAGCTCCTGCAGCACCGGGAGGTGTGGGGGGATCCCCAGAGCTCTGCCTGCCTCCCCCTGACCTCCCAGAGCAAGACTGAGCAGCTCCCAGTGCAGCAAATCCCCTGCAGCGGGACAGAGGGAGGACAAGGGATGTCTGCTTGGAAGGAGATGTCAGACTACTCACCAAAGCCTGGGCTTCGATCCATCAAATCACTGCTGCCTCTTCAGCCCCAGAAATCACAGAATCCTAGAACACCTTAGGCTGGAAGGGACCCCCAAGGATCATCCAGTCCAAGTTCTGCCCTGCCCAGACACCCCAGCAATCCCACCCTGGGCACCCCTGTCCAAACCCTCCTGGAGCTCTGGCAGCNCCCCTCCCCCTCCCCTCGGTGGGGAGCCCCCAGCCGGGCCGGGTGCCCCCCCCACTGCCAACGGCTCAGGTGAGTGTGGCCCAGGGGTGGTGGAGATGTTCCCCAGGAGGGGTTTGGGGCACCCTGGGGGGGTTTGGGACCCTCCACCCTGTGACGTGCCCCCCCTCCCTGTGATGACCCTGCAGTGAAGGTGAAGAAGCCGATCCAGACCAAGTTCCGCATGCCCGTCTTCAACTGGGTGGCCCTGAAGCCGAGCCAGATCGACGGCACCGTCTTCACCGAGCTCAACGATGAGAAGGTGCTGCAGGTGAGCACAGGGACAGGGGGCCGGGCACAGGGGGGCTCGGTGAGGTTGCCTTGTGCCCACCCTGCGCCCACCCGCGGTGCCCAGGGCTGCAGGAGGAGCTGGAGGTCAGGAAAAGTCCTTTAGCACCATGGAGAGGGACACGGGATCAGGCGTGCCTCTCCTCTCCTTGTCCCTTTGCTGAATGAGCACCTTCACGTCCTGTGCATTTCTTCTTCCTCATCTCCATCCTCTGCTCCCCTCACCCCGTCCTTACCCCTCCCTGTCCCCTGGCCTGTCCCTGTACTTGTCCCCTTGTTCCATCCTCATCCCCTTTCTTCCTCTTGATCCTCGCTCCTCACCCTTATCCTGCTCCTCTGGCCCCATCCTCACCCCAGTGTCCAGCACCACCTCCCTGCCGTGTCCACAGCCCTGTGTCCCCGCAGGAGCTGGACATGAGTGACTTTGAGGAGCAGTTCAAGACCAAGGCGCAGGGCCCCGCCCTGGACATCAGTGCCCTCAAGGCCAAGGCCACGCAGAAGGCGCCCAGCAAGGTGACCCTCATGGAGTCCAACCGGGCCAAGAACTTGGCCATCACCCTGCGCAAGGCTGGCCGCAGCATCCAGGACATCTGCACGGCCATCGAGACGTGAGTGCTCCCCCGGGCTGGGCAAGGGTGGGATAAGGTCAGGCACAGCCCGGCAGGACCAAGGGGGTGGGATGGTGGAGGATGTGATGGGATGCAGGGATTGGTATGGGGACAGATGGAGGGATGGAAGGATCAGATATGGGGAGGTGGAGGGATAAAAGGATAAGATGGGGAGAGATGGAGGGTGGAGGGATCAGATGTGGCAGGTGTAAGGATGCAGGCACCAGCTGTGGGGATGGACAGACACAGGGATGAGATCTGAGACAAAGGGCTGTGGGGGCCACACACAGACAGACAGACAGACAGACGGATGCAGAGACCAGCTGTGGGGATGGTGGGATGCAGGAACCAGATATGAAAAAAGGGATGTGGGGACCAAAGACAGGAGATGGAGGGATCCACATGGAGAGAGAGGGAGATGCAGGGTCCAGATACAGAAAGATGGGGTGGTGCAGGAACCAGCTGTGGGGGACGGAGGGATGAGGGAACCAGCCGAGGGTGACAGGGGGACCTGCGGCAGGGCCTGACAGTGCCAGGGGTGTCCCCTCCCCGCAGGTACGACCAGCAAGTGCTGAGCCTCGACTTCCTGGAGCTGCTGCTGCGCTTCCTGCCCACCGAGTACGAGCGGACCCTGATCGGGAAGTTCGAGCGGGACCAGCAGCCGCCGGAGGAGCTCTCGGACGAGGATCAGTTCATGATCCGCTTCAGCAAGATCCCGCGCCTGGCCGAGCGCATGAACGTCATGATCTTCCTGGGCAGCTTCGGCGACACGGCCCAGCTGCTGATGCCGGTGCGCACCGGGACGGGCGGGCGGGGGCTGCCGGGGCAGCTCCGGCAGCGACACTCACACCCTTCCCTGCCTCCCTCCCACAGCAACTCAACGCCATCATCGCCGCCTCCATGTCCCTCAAGTCCTCCAGCAAACTGCGCCACATCCTCGAGGTGAGGCCTTTGGAGGGAGGTGGCCCCGCTGGGTGCACACAGGGTGTCTGTGGGCACTGGGCCCTCCTGGCCCTGTGTCCCCAAGCCGTGGTGTCCCCGCAGATTGTGCTGGCCTTCGGGAACTACATGAACAGCAGCAAGCGCGGGGCTGCCTACGGCTTCCGGCTGCAGAGCCTTGATGCGGTAGGGTCGGCGTGGGTTCCCTGCTGTGGGGGTGATGGGGGCACTGCCACTGCCAGGGACCAGCCCTGGGGACAGAGGGGCACAAGGACCGGCTGCAGAGATGGAAGGACACAGGAACCTGCTGTGGGGATAGAGGGGTGCAAGGACCAGCAGCAGGGATGGAGGGACATGAGGTTTAGCAGTGGGGACTGAAGGATGAAGACACCATCTGTTGGGATGGAGGAGGCGAGGGGAGAAGGCAAAGGGATGGAGATACACAGGAATGGGGTCAGAAGGATGGAGACCTAATATGGAGAGGTTAAAGGATTCAAGGACCTTGATGGAGGACGATGGGATGAAGGAAGATGGGAACCAGCTGCAGGGATGGAGGGAGGAAGGTCACACATGGGAATGTAGGATTGAAGAACCAGCTGCAGGGACAGAGCGATGCAGACCCAGCCATGGAGATGGAGAAAGATGGGAATCAACCATGGGAATGGAGGGATGCAGACCTGGCTGGGGGATGTAGGGATGCAGATCCAGCTGTGGGAGTGGAAGGATGGATACAGGCCCAGCCACACGGACAAAGGGGCACCAGAGGCAGCCCTGAGCAGGGTGAGGGGTGGTGGCTGCAGGTTGGGCTGACTCTGCCCTGCCCCAGCTCCTGGAGATGAAGTCGACAGACCGCAAGCAGACGCTGCTGCACTACCTGGTGCGGGTGATCATGGAGAAGTACCCGGAGCTCACCGGCTTCCACACCGAGCTGCACTTCCTTGACAAGGCAGGCACAGGTAGTGCCCACGGGCCCTGGGCTGGGGGTCGAGGCAGCCCCTGGCGCCCTGAGCCTGCCCTGACCCCGCACTGCTCGCAGTGTCCCTGGACGGTGTCCTGCAAGACGTGCGCAGCCTGCAGCAGGGCATGGAGCTGACCCGCAGGGAGTTCATGAGACAGGACGACAGCCCCGTGCTCAAGGACTTCCTCAAGAGCAACTCGGAGGTGATGGAGAAGCTGCAGGCTGACAGCAAAACTGCCAAGGTGGGTGCTGGGGTGGGGTGGGGTCATTGGGGCAGTCCCCTGCATGGGGACACCCTGGGGCACCCTCTGCTCACACCTCTGCCCCATGGGAGAGGCTCCTGCTTGGGGCGTGGCTCCAGTGGGACAGGCAGGAGGGAACCGGGCAGGATGGGGAGGTGGGAGAGGCTGGAAGGAGGTGGTGGGCGATGGGCACCACTGCCCAGCCCCCAGATCAGGTGTCTCTGCCCACAGGAAGCATATGAGTCAGCTGTGGAGTATTTTGGGGAGAACCCCAAGACCAGTCCCCCCACCACCTTCTTCCCCATGTTCCTGCGCTTCATCAAAGCCTACAAGGTAGGAGGGGGCATGGGGTCCTCTGTTTCTGAGGGCTGGGAGGAGATCTGGGGCACCTGACTCCACTTTGGAGCAATCAGCAGAAGCCACAGGCAAGGCTGGGGCTCAGGAATGTCCTTGGGATGGTCAGAGATTTTGGAACTGAGTTGGGGTGAGCTGGGGGCTGTGATATGAAGAAGGAAGGGGGCTGCAGTCCTGGATTCCCCTGGCTCAGCACACCCTTCCTGCCCCTCTCCCAAGAAAGCAGAGCAGGACATCGAGCTGTGGAAGAAACAAGAGGCTGCAGCCAAAGAGGCGGATTCTGGCTCCCCTGGCAGCGAGCAGCAGCCCGAGGTGAAAGTTCCCCCATGTCCGTGTCCTGGTGGGGTCCCAGCCCCAGCCCTGGGTGGGCTGAGTGGTGGGGAAGGACTAAACAGGTCCTGGGGAGGGAGAGCTGGGTGGGAGGTGAAGGGGAGGGTACCCCATCTCCTCTGGGGTGTGATCACACCACTCAAGTGCCCTGTCCCCTCACAGCTGCCTGTCCAGAAGGCCAGGAGGCAGCAGATGGACATGATTGCTGAGCTGAAGAAGAAGCAGATGGTGAAGGAGCCGCTCATCTACGAAGGCAAAGATGGGGCCATTGAGGATATAATTTCAGGTGAGAGATGATTTCAGGTGAGCAGCCAGGTGTCCCCACATCACAGACCCAGTGCTGGGGGCTGCAGGGGCTGTCACAGGAGCTGGGTGGTCACCAAGCCCTGCCACGGGGACCAAACCTACCTGCAAGCACCTTCACGTCCCACATGGCAAAGCTACCGAGTGCTCCCTCCCCTGTCTCATATCTCTTCCTCCTCTTCTGCGTCTTCCTCCTCTCTGCTCCTCCTGCTCCTCCTCGCTGTCTCTGGATCGCTCTGCTCAGCTCTCAAAACTGTCCCTTTCACTGCCCGGACGGGCAAACGCTCGTCCCGGCTCTTCTGCGACGTGAGCTTCAACGAGGAGAGTCCTCTGTAGGTAACGTGGGGCGGCGGGGCCGGCGCAGGTGGGCGGGGGCTGCCGGGCTTCCCCCTCCCCGCCGGGATGCTCCAGGTGTGTGGCCGGGTTTGTGCCCCGCTGAACGGCAGCCCCGGGGCACCGGGATCAGCCCCGATGCGGTGCTGGGCTCCCAGAGCCGGCGGTCGGGCTCCCACGGGCTGATTGTTCGTGGCTGCTGCTCCTCCCCTTGGCTCCTCCTGGGTGTCCTCACGCCCAGAGCGGCGACTCCCGAGCAGACAGGACAAGGGGCAAGGGTTTTAAATGAACACTGGAGAGTTTTAGGTTGAAGGTTCAGAAAAAAACTCATTCCTGTGAGGGTGAACCCTGGCACAGGGTGCCCAGAGCAGCTGTGGTGCCCCTGGATCCCTGGCAGTGCCCAAGGCCAGGTTGGAGGGGGCTTGGAGCAGCCTGGGACAGTGGAAGGGGTTCCTGCCATGGCAGTGGTGGCACTGGATGGGTTTAAGGTCCCTCCAACACAAACCATTCCATGTTAACGTGGTGGGTGCGGGACCCCGGCCGTCCCGGGGGGCAGTGAAGCTCACCCGGCCCCTGCGCTTGCCCCGGTGCAGATCTGCGGAACAACCCGTACCGGCGGGGGGACAAGGCCCGCGGCAGCGCCAAGAAACGGGCGGCGGGGCAGAGCCTGCAGGCGACGCCGGACATCGTGCTGTGACCGGCGCCGTCCCTGCGGCTGCAGGAGCGGGGCAGGACCATCCTCCGGACGCGGATGGCACCGCGGGGTGTCAGTCCCTCAGCCCGGGGCTCGGCGGGGCGGGGGGACACTGCCCGCTCCGAGCTGCTGCAGCCGCTTAGCGTGCCAGCCCCGCCGTGCCTGCCTGGGCCGGGCACGGGCACCCCGCCGCTTGCTTGGCCATGTCCCCGAGCTCCTTTCCCCAGGCTGGCAGGGCTGGAGGCCCTCCTGGCTACGGACAGGGAGGGGGAAGCATAGAAAGGGCCCCAGCTTGTCCTAGAAGGAAAAGAGGGGCTGTCCCATCCCTGCCCCGGCGCTGCTCCCTCGCTCGCCGGCCGCGGGGCCAGCCCTGTGTCCCACCTCAGCTTGCTGGTGCCTTTGACTGCCGCTGCGGGAGGGGAGGAGGTGTCAGCCAGGACCACAAAATCCCCGCATATCTCCCCCGCACATCTCCCCCGGCCCGCAGAGCCCCCGAGACCGCGTTCTCCTGCGCTGCAGAGCCAGCGAGGAGCTGCTGCAAAGCTCCCACCCCGGGCACCTCCCGGAGCCAAGGGCTGGCAGCGGTGCTATTTTACATGATTTTATAAGTCTTCCTTCGAATTTCTCTGTGCTGCGGCAGCAGGGATCGGAACACCCGCGCACAGGGTGTTCCCAAGGCTGTGGCCAGCAGCGCTGGGCTGCTCTTCGCCGCAGGGGAGGCTCCGGAGCTGCGACAATCGGGAGCAGGGACAAGTTCCTGCGAGGTGGTGGCACCTCCGCCCACCTGCATCCCCAGCATCCACCTGCACTGTCGGGGCTGGCGCCTCTGGGATAAACAGGGGCTGTCAGCCCTGCGGGCTCCCCGTTTTCTCGGGTGGGACACGCAGGAGATGCCGGCAGCCCCCGCGGGGTCCCTGCTGCCCAGAGCCCCAGAGCCTCTCGGTACCGGACTGGACCCGACCGCCGCTCCCTCCCCTGCCCCGCTGCTGCCGAGCAACGCCGAGCCCGCAGTGCCGCAGCTGAACCCCCCGGCGCATTTACTCCATCAAACGGCCCCGCTCTCCCCATGCCAGGACGCTCCTCCCTCCTCCCGTCCTTTCTCCCTCGTCCCAGCTTTAGCCAGAGCAGCCGCTGCTTCCTGCTGTATTTAAGCCGCTTCAGCGCCGGCTCCGTGTCCGGGGAGGGATGGGAAATGAATATGTAACTTATAAATGCCTTTAAGCCAGAAATGTAAACCATTAACTGCTCATTTGTATACATTATTTTTATATACTGAAGGCCTGTTTAATCTAAAGCAGAGCTGGAAATAAAATGCCTCAGAGGATAACGGACTTGTCTGGGAGAAAGGTTTGCATGGGGGGGCGATGCTGTCATGAAGGGAGGGAGGGAGAAAAGGAAAGAAAGATGGAGCGAGGGAAGGATGGAGGGAGGAAGGGGAGAAGATGAAGGGAGGGATGGAAAAACGGAAGGAGTGGCTGTGGCTGCCCCATCCCTGGAAATGTCCAAGGCCAGGTTGGACGGGGCTTGGCACACCCTGGGATAGTGGGAGGTGAGAGGATGGAACCAGATAATCTTTAGGGTCCCTTCCAACACAATCCGGTCTGGAATTCTAGCAACAAGCCACCCACCATTTTTTTTTGAGGACAACAGCTCTGAGGTCTGTTCACAGCACAGACATGTGGGTGCATGGCAGCACAAAAAATATGTTTCAGGATAACTGTCCTCACTCAGCAGCCTGGCCACAGCCCCCCCAGCCCGCTGGGCTCATTTACCGGGAGGATTCAGCTCTGTGCAGACAAACAGCTCCTGCAGCACCGGGAGGTGTGGGGGGATCCCCAGAGCTCTGCCTGCCTCCCCCTGACCTCCCAGAGCAAGACTGAGCAGCTCCCAGTGCAGCAAATCCCCTGCAGCGGGACAGAGGGAGGACAAGGGATGTCTGCTTGGAAGGAGATGTCAGACTACTCACCAAAGCCTGGGCTTCGATCCATCAAATCACTGCTGCCTCTTCAGCCCCAGAAATCACAGAATCCTAGAACACCTTAGGCTGGAAGGGACCCCCAAGGATCATCCAGTCCAAGTTCTGCCCTGCCCAGACACCCCAGCAATCCCACCCTGGGCACCCCTGTCCAAACCCTCCTGGAGCTCTGGCAGCCTCGGGGCTGGGACCATTCCCTGGGGAGCCTGGGCAGTGCCCAAGCCTCCCCCCTGACTGCTCCTGCATCCCCCAAACCCAAGGGTAATTACTACATAACAGAGTTTAATCAGACCAGGCTCCTCTTCCTGGAAAATGACTTATTCAGCATCACCGTCTTATTCTCTGGGACAACACATCAAACCACCAGCAACAACAGCAAACAAAATCTTCTCTTTTTTTTTAGTTTTATTTTTTTTTCCCTGTGAAAATGCAGGTCAAAAACATTAACTTCAAGAAATCACAGTTTTATAAAGTGTCATTTATTCCATACAAGCTCCTTGTTCCAGCACCTTCCCCCACTGCCCATCCCAAAGATATCCTCAGTTCCACCTTGCCTCACCAACAGTGATTTTTCCAGACTTCCGGAAGGAGCTGCTCGACAAGAGCCATCTGTGTTTATCACTCCTACTTGTCCTCCCCACCCTGAGCTGGGGTTCTGTCCTAAACATTCGTTATGAAACCTGACAGTTCCAGCCAAATTTGAACAAGGATAATGCAAATCTTTCCTGCCTTTCTGCTGTCAGGATTGCCTTCATCTGGAAGCCGGGTTGTTTGTGCCTGTCACAGCAAAGTGACAAGCCAAGGGAAGAGGAAACTGTCCTGGCAGCAGGAGAGAGCCAGGGAGAGCTCAGGCTGGCTGGCAGCACAGCCTGGAGATCGTCCCAGAGAACCCCAGCTCAGGGACTGGGAAGGCACCAGTGGTTTGTGGAGCTGCCGAGGTGTCTGTCCCCAGGCAGGGACTGTGACAGCACATCCCACCCTGGGAGCAGTGACACGGCCAAGCTTTGTGGGCTGGGAACATGCAGCCTCACTTGGGCACTTGTGGTGGCAGCAAAACAGGACTGAAGGCTTTGGACAAAACAAAGAGGGTGAATCCTGGCTAATGCTGCTATGAGGGTACCGGGGAACATGGACATCTCCATGGGCCTGGGGAACACAGACATCTCCATGGGCCCTGTGAGGACATCCCAGGTGCAGGAGAGCTCCCTGCCCTTGTGCAGGTGGCCTGAGTTCAGGTTAATGCTGCAGATGCAGAGCCCATGAGTCCTGCAGATAGTCCTGCTCCCTCCCTGCTGCTCCAGGGCTCAATCCCAATGCCTAGGCATGGAACTAGATACCAGGACATGGGAGCATCCCCCAGGCAACAGAGGCACAAGGTGCAGCCTTTGGGATGGAACCCATGATGCTTTGGGATTGACACATCACCACACACTTACAGAAACAACCAACAGTTTTCCTCCTGTCCCCTTAGAGGAAGCTCAGGAAAGGAGCCAGGCATGCACTGAACCTGTGCTGGGAGCTCCTGGGAGCCCTGGAAGAGGCACTTTGATCCCTCCTGCTCCAGAGCTTAAACTCTTAGTAGTTTATGGCAACCGAAAAAAGAAATCTAGCAATCCTCCCCCTTTCCCCACTCCCTCCTGGAAGACATGTGCATAATGTGTTAATTATTTACTAAAAAGACTCTGAACGTGGTATAGTAGATATAATTAGGTGCCTATTTTGGACAATGTATTAAGTGCTTTAGAACAAAAAGTGCTATAAAAACTATACCCAAAGTGGTGATAGGTTTCATTTTTCTTCATGAGTTCCATTTTTTTTCTATATCACAACTTGAGTTTTCTGATCAGGGATGTCTGGTGGAGCAAAACCAGCCATGTTCTGGAAGACCAAAGGCAAAGAGCATCCATTGTTTAAGGAGTGCTGCTCCTCAAAAAAGGAGGCTCAGAGTTCAGCTTTTCCCAGCTATTTTCAAAGTGAACTTCCCTTGGGAAGACTGCCAGCACTGCTGCCCCATCGTGTCTCCCAGACCAGCACAGATCTGGCAGAGCCTACCTTGGCTTTTGGGAGCTGCTTCTCTGCCCAGGCTGGATGCAGAGTCCCTGCTCAGAGGCAGCCCCAGAGCTCTGGGAGAGGCACAGCCACGGGGAGGGACTGTGATTTCCAGGTGTGCCAGGCCTGGGAGCAGCCCTGAGCAAGCACACGGAGCTCACACCTCCCTCGGGATCCGTTCTGCGATGGAGAAGGGCCATCGACACCCGCCCACCTGAACTTGACCTGTGAGGTTTCAGTATATTCCAAACATTCACAAATCAGTTAAAAAAACAGTTTAAAGCTTAAGGCATTCCAGGCCCAGCTGCCCATCCTACTCAGTGAGCCCAGTCTGAAGTGAGGGGAGGAGTGGGAAGCCTTGTGAGGCCAGGCTGAGCTCACAGAACTGGGACACTGGGCTGGACTGGGAGCTGGGAAGGAGATTTTTATAAACTCTGCAATAAAATTCAGCCCTGTCACAGCTGACAGAGCTAATGTCCCTTATTCCTCCAAGGATGGGACAGTGCACCTGAAGTCCCACATCAGAGGTGGGTACAGGATGAAGAAACAACCCCTCCACCCTCCCACCATGGAATTCTGTACCCTTCTCCTGCCCTGCCTGCCAGGGACATCAGAGAGCACCAGCTCCTCTGAGACCTGCAGGTGAGAGCTGCAAACAAAGCTCTTTCTGGGAACAAAGTTCTTTTCTGATTCAAGAAGGAAGCAACTACGGGGAAGGGTGGGAGGTGAAACCAAGAGCCAGCCAGTGACTGCTGTGGAGTCTCCCCATGAAAAAGGCTTGAGGTGGAGATGATGCTCCCCAGAACCTACAGAAATGTTTTTTCCTCCAGCTGGAAAGAAGTCAGCCAGCTCCCCTTGGCACAACCAACCCCAGCCACACTGAGGACACCCAACCTCCTCCTCTGGGCAAGCCCAGCAACGACCGACCTCACCTTGGAGCAAGAGTTCTCACCCGCTGGCCCTGCTCTCCTGAAAAGCACAACCTCCTTCCTCTGAAAAGCGAGGAATTTCCACCTACCATTCTCAAGCTCTAACACACCCAAAACAAGTAATTCCCACTGTCCTGGGGAATGTCTAAGCTCAGGACATGTCTTGGAAGTGGATCAGAACAGCCAACAGAAGTGAGGCCCGAGGGCAGCGAGCTGTGATCCTGCTGCAGCACAAACACCAGCCGCTGCATTTGGTGCTCCATGGCAGGGGAGGTCAGAAGCTTTGGCAATTCCTTCTTTGCACATAGTGCAAACCTCCAAAGCAGGCAGGGCTCAGGGCCTGTTCTCCAGCTGGCCGTGCTTGACGCGCCAGGCCCAGCTGACGCTGCAGTCGGGGGCCAGGGTGCACTGCAGCTCGATGCCAGAGTCGGGCACCTCCATGTTGTAGTGCACAGGCTGCCCCTCCTTGGTCACCAGGCTGAAGGCAGGCACGGGGATCTGTGGAACAGAACACACAGAGCTCAGTGGCACTTCCAGTCTCCTCCAGAACATCACACCCGGCTTCCCAAGGCAAGAACAGCTCCCAGGGAGGGGCTTGTGCTTGGCAGGAACACCCTGAACTCCTCTCCTAAGGAAATACCTCAGAACTGGACTAGGAAGTGCCCACCCTGCTGCCAAAGTGCCTCCCTGAGCTCCGGGCCATGGCTGGGGGGGCATGAGCTGCCCATGTTTGGGCACCTGAGCTCCTCTCCAGGTATTTTGTTTTGTGATGTCCACAAGAACAGTCTAGAGAGAACTAGCACCACTGGAACATTTTCTGGGCTGGTGCAACATCTTTTAGACATGATCCCATTTTACACTGAGATCTTTTAGATCCCATTTTACACAGATGAGTCACAGTCCCACAGACACTCCAGAGTTTCTTTCAGGAACAGCCAAAGCAGCCCACAGTGAGGTTCACAGGAGAGTGCCAACATCTCCAGCAGAACATATTGGAAGCACCCCAGCCAAACACAGTTCATTTCCCTGAGCTGATGTTACTGCTTATGATGGAAAAGCTATATAGTGATTCTTCAAGGAGAGGGGGAAGAGATTATAATTGAGGAGAAGGATTTTTAAGCTGCACCACAGAATATCTATATTCTAAGATACAGATCCCTGTGCTCACTCTGACAATTGGCACTGGCTTACAATTCAGGTTTAGTACTAGGTTTAGACTGGATATTAGGGAAAATTTTTTCACTGCAAGAGTGGATAAGCATTGGAACAGGCTGCCCAGGGCAGTGGTAGAATCACCATCCCTGAAAAGGTTCAGAAAATGAGTAGATGTGGCACTTGGAAATATGGTTTAGTAGGCCTGGTGAGATTTGGTCAAAGGTTGGACTTGATGATCTTGGAGGTCTTTTCCAACCTTAATGAGTGCTGTGATTCAGAAGACATCCTCTGGTACCACACTCACAACAGCAGCACTGAGGTTCTGCTTCTAAAGGTGTCCTAAGGACGCCTGAACCACTCCTGGGTCTCTCTGGCATTCAGGGGTTATGAGGCTGCAGCAGGGAAGAAATCATTCCTCAAGTGATGCACTGTACTCCAGTCTGTGTCTCACCTGGCTGCTTATCCCCGTGGCAATGTCTCCCACCTTTGTCCTGTGGAAATCCCTGATGTGCAAATTTTCTCCACTTAGCAACTGGATCTGGATTTTCACTCCTGGAATGCACAAGAGGTTCTTTAACTTCTGCTGAGCCACAAGGACCTCACAGTCCACAGCAAAACAGACTGACAAGGCACACACATGGGAAAGACTAATTTTTGTCATTAAGGATTTAATTTATGTAGGTCTTTTGCTGAGCATGGAGCTTGCTGCAGACAGGAATGACTCACAGAGCAGAGCTGCATTTAGCAAGAAAGCAGCTGAAGTGATACATTAATTTGCGCGATATGCCCTCAAAATTCTGGGTAGACGTTTGTGGTTATAAAACATTCCTTGCACATGGAAGCTGCATGAAGCAGGGCACACAGGCTCTGTGTGTTCAGAAACTTCCCTGGATTTCATTGTACAGACCCATCTGTGACTGGGCAGACTGGATCTCCTTTAGGGGAGGTCTGTGCTGGCACAGCAACTGAAGGACAAAAGGAGTTCAAAAACTCCATGTCCAGCCCATCCAGACAGTGAGAAAGTGACTGCTGGCCACTTCTCCCCGCTTTGGGAATGCAGACCCACCGTTGAAGTAGCTGGGGGTGTCCGTGTGCCGGCTGCGGCTCAGCAGGTTGTTCCAGCTGCAGCTCTGCCCGTCTGCCTGGCTGCTCCAGGAATGGATCCCAGAGCTCATGGTGTCCCTCAGGCTGTGAGAAGCCTTCATGGAGTTCTGCAGGAATAAGCAGAACTAGTTTGTCTAAGGTTCCGAAAGAAAATGAGTTGGCAGGAGATGAGCATTAAAATAAGGTCAGGAGGAAAAAGGTGGAAATCCACAGGGATTTAAGGCTGGGCCTTAGTCAACATTTATGTGCCATCTGGGAATGGGAATGGATAGCAATGCAACAGTGTGCAGACATTATCAGATATCCTCAATAGTTAAACTAATAATGAGCTGAAAAGTTGGGTGAGAAAAGAGGGGTTGTACTGACTGGCAGAAGAATTAAGCATCAGTTAAAATATTTGTCACTTACTGACATTAGAAACACACAAGAAGAACAATTAACTGTACAAAACCAACCATATATCCTATGCTGCTGCACAGTCCCAGTCAATCTGACATCAGCACAGAGGTCTGAACCAGTCAAAACCAAGTTAAAGGTATGGTGTAGGTGTTAGTGGGAAAAACCAAGCAGAGTCAGATCCCACAATGCACACTGTGTGTGTCAACAGCTGAGCTGTGCAGAACTCCCTCAGTCCTCCTCAAAAAGCACTGGAAGACTGAGAAGAGAGACAAAAATAGGACACAAAGCTGCTCCCAATCAGAACTGACTCCTGCAGATGCCAGGATGCACAAACTGGGGACTCAATGTCCTTGAAAACTGTGACTGAAGGGCTTTTATCCTTCCCTGATCCAACAGTGCTCCTCACTGCTATTCCCTACCTTAGGAACACCAGAGAGAACAAACCAATAGAATTGAAAATGGCAAATAGCTAGGACCATGTAGTCATTATTATCAGTGGGTTAAAACAAATTCATGGAGAATAGATCCATAGGTTGGGAATGAATATCCAATATTTGGGTCTTTGTTTTCCTGTCCTACTCTCCTGGTCTTTCCCTAAACCTCTCACTGGTGGCATGGCCAGGAAGAAGACCCTGCTCAGCTGCTTGGTGCAGCTCCTACTTCCATCACTGCTTCCCCAGCTGCCTTTTCCTGCACAGCCAGGGTTGAGGCTGCTGAGATTTTCTGTATCCACACACTTGAGGCTTCTGGTGAGGATACAGCACAGGAGAGGCTCTGGAGGAAAGGAACCATGCTGGACAGGGAACCAAAGCACAGCTACAACCCTCAGCACCCCACTGGGCATGAGCAAAGTTTTCTTCCCAAGGTGCTCCCCAGCAAATTTGGTGTCAGAAAGCAGCAGCAAAGGTGAGAAATTCCAGATTTTCATTGGTCACAGCTTCCAGTTTTGCCGAGGGGGTCAGCCAGCCACCCCCCACCCACCCCCACTCACCTTCTCACTGGCATCTGACACAAAGGGGCTGTCAATGCTGAGGCATGAAAGCATTTGCTCTTGTTCTTCCAGAGAGTAAGGCTGGGAAAGGCTGTTCAGAAACAGTTCTGCAGCAAAAGGAAGAGAAGGAAGACATTTCCAGTGTTTCAGGGAGATATTTCCAGTGTTTCCCTCCATGCCTCCCTGCTCTAATCACAGCTCTGCAATTTATACCCAAAGCTTTTTCAGCAATATTTAATAAACATTAATATTGGTGCCAGCAAAGCACAACACACAACTCTGCCATGCAGAGGCCACAGCAAGCACTGTGACACAGGAAAGGGAGCCAAGAGGAGATGGATTGTGCAACAATAGCACCCTAAATTTACCAGTTCTTGCCCATTATGTCTCCTGTGAGATGTCACTTTAGATCCATTCACATTATCAGGGAAAGGTCAAACTCATGTACTCAGCTCTCACAAGTATCTGGAGGTCTGTACTCCCTTATCTGGATACAAGCACTTACAAATACTGCAAATATTCCTGATAATATCCAGATATCCCATATATAACTAGATCTTACAATGCTGCTGACACTCAAAGCCATTTGAGAAAGAAGCTGCCCATCAGCAACCTCTAAAATTCCTCAGTTTTCTGACACATTTACAATTCAAACCACTCTCTTCCTAATTTCTTTCCATTCACTTGAAAAGACTAGAAAATATGGGAAACAAAAAAGGTGAAATGTAGAGTTATTCTGGGGCAATGGAACTGGACAAATCACTGATTTTCACACTGAATTCACTGCTGGTTTCCAAACTCTGGATTGCTGTTGTAACCAAATTCCTTGGCTGATTGCTGTAGGTTTTCCAACACCCAGAACTAAACAGTTGCAGGCTGATTTTAACTGTACTGCTTTGCTTGACATCTGCCATTCCTTTATATTTATCATGGCTTACCTCAATTGGAAAAAACAAAAAAGTTTGAACCTAAAATTGCAGATGAAGTTGGAATTCTGACACTGTTTACACAGTGCAAACAAGCACAAGTCTGAGACAGGCTGTTTTCTATGAGGTTCCTGCACCTCTCTCAGAAGGTTCCCCCCTGTTCAGGAGGAAGGAAATTCTGTTCACCCCCTTTGTGGCACATTTAATTGGTTAAGAACTATTAGTTTTGGTAGTTGGAAGGAAGGTTGAGCAATTTGTGTAACGAGAAAGGAACTATGAGCAAAATGAGATCCAAGCTGAAAACCCAAAAATAACTGTCAACAAGCCAAGAGAAAGCAGCTGTACTTTTATCCTGCTCTCAAGAAAAAAGACTGAATTCCTCCCAAGCCCAGTGCTCACCAATTTCCAGCTGCTGAAGTTCTTGCTCTGAAATGGTTGTGGCTCTTTCCACGTGGCTGCAGCTCTTCAGGGGCAGAGGAGTTGAGGAGAGAGGTGGGGGATCACAGGTCTCAGGTAACTCCTTGCCCTCATTCCAGTGGGGTCCCTCAGCCTCCTCTGTTTGCTCCAGAGATGGAGGTGGTAGGACTGGGCTGGCACAGGAAACTTTGACTGACACTTTGGGATCAGAACCAGTCTCAGAAACTGGGCTCACTGTGGGGGACAGGGAAGTCTGTGCACTGTTTTCTTTGTTTAAAGATAAATGTCTGGGCTCTCTGTATTCACCTTTCCAGGGGCTTCTCACACCTCCCACTACAAAAAAGAAAAAAAAGACACAAACTTTATCAAATAAAGCAATAAAATAAGTACAAGTTTTCCTTTTCTGTAAGAATTTTTAAAGTGTATTTGGTGTAAAACACCCAGCTTCTTCAAAAGAAAAAACCAGATCACCTCCACAAAGTCTTGCTGTATTACAGAACCACTCAGCAGGATTAAGTTGAAATAAATTAGTGATGTGACAGGGGCAAGACTGAACCACAAGTATGAGTTACAGCTAAGGATGCAGTAAACCCCTGGTTGCAGTTGTGTTGCACACCAGGCTCTCCAGGTGCAGCTGATGCTTCAGGAGCCCACACACAGCACCTGAACAAACCCACAGAGAGCTCACCTCCTTCAGCAGAGAAGGAAGAAGAGCATGTGACAGCACACAGGAAATTATCATTTATTTGGGTGACAAACACTCGGCTGCAGGCAGAAGCCATCAACCCAAAATGTGCATCAATGCTGTGAAAATGATATTCTGGACAATAAAACAGACTGGTTCTTCCAAAAGGAACAGCACCAGCAACTCCCCCAGTGGGAATATGAAGGCTCAGCTACATCAGTTACATCAGGACATTTCTACCTTCCTCAAGTGCCACACTGGTCTTAGTTTTGAGTTCTGATGCAGATGCCCTCTGCAGAGGCTCCTTCTCCAGCCCCAGTTTAATAATCTCAGCAGTGAGAGGGTTGCAGGAAGGTGGAATTTCCCTCAGAGGAGGCGGCTCTTTAGCGATCTGTGTAACAAACAGGAAGTGAAAGAGGTTAGACCAGAGAGGCTTAATTTGATTTCAGGAAGGTTCTTCCCACCCCAACACCATTTCCAACTGAAATGAAAGCATTAAGTGAGAGCTGAACAGTAATTTTTTTACAGCTGAATGGCTCAAAAATCACACCCAAGTCATGAGCAGGGTAGGGAACAGCAGCCCAAGCAGAGCAAGCACAGGGAATGCTCAGCTCCCAGAGCAAGGCTGGTATCCTGTCAGATGCCCAGCTGGCTCCTAGCCATCCACCCCGAGGTGAGGGCTCCCTGGCCAGCAGTAACAAGCTCTGGCAGCTCACCTGCAGAGAGGCTGGGTCACTCACCTTCAGGCAGAGAGGGTGGTTGTAGTACTGGGTCCAGGGGTGGCAGCCGTTGAGCATGTGCAGCATCATACAGCAGCTGCTCCACACGTCCACCTTGGAGTCACAGCGCTTCCCCATCACCACCTCCGGGGCCATGTGGGTCTCTGTGCCAGGCACGTAGTTCCCTAAAACCATCCAGGAGAAAACTCACTGCATGCAGGCAAGAGAACTGCTCCAGTGCCACTGGCAGGAGGCCTAAAGCAGAATCCCTCTCTTTTCAGCTAAAGTGAGAGACATGTCAGCTTCATAGGATGGAGTGGTTTGGGTGGGAAGCGACCCTGACATTATCCAGTGCCACCCCTGCTATGGGCAGGGACACCTCCCACTGTCCCAGGCTGCTCCAAGCCCCCTCCAACCTGGCCTTGGGCACTTCCAGGGATCCAGGGGCAGCCACAGCTTCTCTGGGCAGCCTGTGCCAGGGCCTGCCCACCCTCACAAGGAACAATTTATCCCAGTATCCCATCCATCCCTGTCCTCTGGCAGTGGCGAGCCATCCCTCCTTGCCCTGTCCATTGTCCCAAGTCCCTCTCCAGCTCTCTTGGAACTCCTTTAGGCATTGGAAGGAGCTCTGAGGTCTCCTCTGAGCCTTCTCTTCTTCAGGCTGAAGAATCTGAACTCTCTCAGCTTTTCTCCATAGTGGAAGGGTTCCACCTTAACCCAAAAACCAGCATTGTGTGTTCTCAGAAGCTGTTCCCTCTCAGACCCATCCCTTATACACAGAATAGGAATTAAACTTCCCTTTCAAGCAAAACTGGGAGGCAAAACACAAGCTTAACTTCAGAAAACGTACCCTTCTTTTTCAACAGCTGCATGAAGAAGCATGGTTAACTTTAATTGTCAAAAAAAAGGAATTTTCTTTAGTGAGGTTAGGACTCTTCCCCACTATTTAGTGAGGTTACACAACAAGTCCAGGTAGGATTTTAAAGTTTCAGTGTGATTTCTTGCAGGGACAAAACACTGAATGCAGCATGCTGACAATCTTACAAAAACCCTTCTAGCCTGGGAGATAAGGACCATCACCTCCCAAATTTCAGGTCATTTTGGCTGTCAGTGGGATGTCTCACAGTAACACAAATAAATGAGACACCCTGAGCAGCTGCGTGCAAATCAGCCACATGTAAATGCTCATGAGAGAGAATGAGTCAGAAGGGCAATTCCTCAGAAGAGCAGCAGCAAAGCCTCACCTGTGACCAAGCACTTTCCCAGCCCGTCTGGGTGCAGGTGAGCAGAGTGGCCAAAGTCACACAGGAGGGCCCTGCTCCCATCGTCCGACAGCAGCACATTCTCCGCTGCCAACGAGAAGGGTTCCATTAGTCTCCTCTGCATTAGGAGATGGGGAAAACACTCAAAAGCACACAGAACTACAGTTTTTTAAGCCCAAAGGATTTATTTCTCCTGTCACTGGCTTAAGCAAGCACAGAGCTGTAATTATCTCTTATAAACTACCAATTACCAGCCCTGGAGATTCTTACAGCCCAGTGGTGGGCCAGCCTGGGCAAGCACCTTGGCAGACCCATGGGGTGACAAGAAGAGTTGACAAATACGATATTCCCATCACTCTAGAACCAAGGGAAGCTTTAATTTCAAACACGGATCTGAAAATCTAGTAAGTAGATCCCATAATTTTAGTAAGCAATCCCATAATTTGATCTCCCAGCAGTTTGCCTCTTCAAAGAAAATGGAAGAACTTCAAAAACTTTCCTTACCTTTGACATCTCCATGTAGAATGTTTTGAGCATGAAGATACTCCAGACCCTCTAACACCTGGCCCAGGTAGCTGAGGGATCTGTCCTCTGGCAGGCAGCCACTCTGTTTAATGAGCTGCCCTAATGAGCCACCTAGGAAGGAATCCAGGGAGTCCATATTATCTTATCTTTAAATTCTCCCCAGCAGCATTAACATTCCTGGTTGTTTTCATTGAAAAAATGAGATTTTCCAGGTCTGACAGCACTTATCTTCCACACATGGCTCTGTTCCTTTTGTCTATTCCCAGAGAATTTGCTGCCCACAAAACCAGGCCTTGTTCATATGGTTTTTTGCTTAGTGCCAGTTTAACAGCATTGCTTTGGACCTCTGTGATTAGAACAGACATTTCTATGTGTTACTGACCACCAGCTTGTCATTCACAGCCTGTTTTCCATGGTTCTGGCCAGAAAAGGAGCACTGGGCAATGGAATCATGGAGGTTTGCTTAGACAGGCAGGGCAATGCACCCCACTGGTGTCCTGCAAACCAGCAGGAAGCACAAACTAGCCCCAACTGTGTCTTACTGTGAAAAAGAGACACCTTGAACTGGAGTGAGGCAGGACTGGGAATTATTCCTCCCACTGCAGGCATTACACACACCCATCTCAACCCACTCGGGAATTCACACCAGGAATATTCTGGATGCACTGAGGAACTACCAGATTCATATCGGGGCAGGAGGAAGAGGAGGTCAATGTGCACTGCACAGTGCCAGTGGGGCTTCCCCTGCTCACCCTCCATCAGCTTCATGAAGATGGTGACCCAGGGACCCTCCTTGACGGCGCCATAGAGGGGCACCACGCTGGGGCTCGTCACGGCCGCGCACGTCGTCAGCTCCTCGGCACGGAAGTGTTCCACCTGCACCTGCGGGAACAGGGAGGCACTGAGCAAATCCTGGGCTGGGTCCTCACACAACTGTCCCTCTCTGGTGGCTGTGTGACAGCAGAGATGGGTTAACTGGGCTTGATGGTCTTGGAGGTCTTTTCCAAACTTAATTCTGTGACCTTCCTGAATAGAACTCAGGGAGTGCAGCAGGAAGTAGGAACACTCGGGATGATAAGCCCTCAGTGTCCAAGGGAAGTGAAAATTCCCCACAAGAGATGCCAGCTTGCAATAACTCCAGATTACAGCTGAGGACAGGTACCCTTCAGGAAGAAGGCAATTTCTGTCTCAGTGAAAAAATAATTTTGACAACTGAACATTCTGCTTTTATGAAAGAGATGGAAAAAGAAACTCTGGGGATGGTGCAAAACTTGGCAAAAACTCAACTCCCCAAAAAACGAGGGAATACAAAATATATATATGATCTCCATGATCACCTTGTTAGGTGGTGCTCATTCTGCAAATGGTTAAAATTAAACTTTATTCGCTAAGTTCAGCCAAACTAAATAAAACAAGAATTTGCTGAAGTCCAGAAGGAAAACATGAGTCATGAAGATTCTGGTGGGAAAAAGATGCATCATGTTTCTTCTCTGTCAGCAATCCAGCTATAGCTGGTTTTCTTTCATCTCAAGAATTTGGAGAGCAGGTGCTTCCAGCACCAAGTCTGGTGAAAGGTGATGTAGTGCCCTCCTGTCACAGGGAGGCAGCAGAAACTGGAGACAGTTACTCATGGAAAATTAAATAGAACATAGAGAAGTGTCCAAATTGCATGTTAGAACTCTCTGCTTTCAGAGTGTGATCTAAGAAGATGCATTTCTGATATAAAGAAACATCATTTATCCTTCAGTAATCGGGGGGGGAATGACATTTTGAACGACTTCAGCTTCTCCTACTTTCATGTTTCCCTTTTCAGCACAACCATCTTCCTTCCTGAAAATCCACCCCACAAGGAACAGCTATTTCTCCCAAGACTGTGGATTTGCCAAATGGGTAATACATTTAAATAGCTACACACTGACAGGAAACAGGCTGGTTGTATCACCACAAGATTTCACACCTGAACTCTTAAGGATGCAGAACAGGAATTAATTTTCTACACGCTTGAGAGATGTTTGTTTCTATAGCTAACAACTGAATAGCTATGAAATGGTTAAATAAATACACACTGACTTGTCTTGCCTCTTACATCTTTCCACAGGGAGCACAGCAAGCTGGGCCCAGTGTAAAAAATTAATATTTTAAACTGAAAAATGGGGGGAAATGAACATTTTAAACTGAAAAATGAAAGTTACAGTTCTTTTTGCACATATTTTTGTACTCAAGGCAAACACTTCCCACACAAAGTTTTCTAGTGAAGTAATGTGAGAAACATCAGTTCACAGGGGTGATGAAATTATTGAAGTGTAAGTTCAAATAAAATAGTTTACATTTTCCTCATCTCCTTGCATGATCCCTCCGTCTGCATCCCTGAGGCCCCCACAGCAGCCCACAAATCAATGCCCTGATCCAAGTTACATTCCACACACTTCCTACATCATGTGACAATGGCATAGCCTGGAGTACAATAGATTAGAGTGCCAACTTCTGGAAAAACACACATCCTTTGCTGCATCTGGAACAGCATCACCTCAGAACAATGTGCCAGCATTGCAGCTGACACTGAGGAGATGAAAGCTCTGTTTTCAGAGCCTACTGACTGCCTTAGGTTTTTCCTACTTTATTCCTTTTTCATCAGGGAAATAAATACCTGCCATGTAACCACTTACACCAGACATGGTTTCAGATAAGAATAGTCAGATAACAGGCAACCCACACAGCTGTTGCTCCCTTGCAGTCACTCACAATCATTCAGAAATCTCTACTCTTGCCTCAGCACCCAGCATCCTTTTCAGCACACTTTAAAAGCTTATTTCTGGCTGCTGAGCTTGGCCCCTGTGCACATACAGATCCTCCATCTGCTTCTCTGTCTGCCACCCCCCTGAAGTTTTCCTTGGACACAACAGCAGTACTTCACTGTGACTGTACAACAAGGTCCTGAAGAGAACATGGGAAGAGATTTCTCTCCACATGCTGCCTTGTGTCCTTCTCTCACACAGAATTACCTTCTTGGCAGCACACTGAAATCCTGTCTGCTTGTCCTCTATCTTGTACACTTCCCCAAAAGAGCCAATGCCCAAGGAACCATGGCACTTGGTCCAGTGAACCTCTTCTCGGTACTCATAATCCACTGGCTTCAGCTTCTGGAAGTCCAAACAGAAAACAAGATGAAGCAAGGAAAGAGACACTTAAATGTTGAGCTGCATGGAGATCAACATTCTCAGAAGCAGCACAAGCACAGATACCACAGCACCTCTCTAGAAATCTCCATACAAGATTACTTCTGTCACAGGTTTGGGAGGAAACCAAACAGGATCAACCTACTTGATTTCTGTGGGCTCTGTTGGATCTGAGTGAACCCCACTGTTGTAAAGAAAGGCCACCAGGATCTGGATGGCTTTGGAGCTCTGTGTTCCTCCCTTCTCATGCAGGACATAACTATAAAGCTGAATCCTACAATTACCCATATTCCCATGACTAAATGCAGACACTCTGTGAAAGCTTTTCTGCAGTCAGCAGATGGAGACAGTGCCTTAGGTGTCAGTGGGAACACGTTCAGGCAGGTAAGGGACACCTTGAACTCCACAGACCATACTGACAGGGTCACAGTGACCCCAGGGAAGACCTCCAGGAGGACTTTAAGGTGTTGAGAGAGAACTGAATTCAAAAGAAGTGGATTATGTCCCTAGGATTCAAATGCATTTCTGTGCCCAGGCCCTGTGGGACGCTGCAAAGGACACTGCAGGAGCTGCTGGTCCCAGCAGAGGCACAGACTGGCCTCCTGCACCTCCCCTTCTACCCAGCCCTGGTTTCTGTCACACTCCAGCTCATCCAGAGCCAATAAATATTGGAGCCTGGCTGAACAGATTGGGCTCTTCCCCAGCAAACACAGAACATGGTTGAAGACTGACTAAGCACAGAACCACTGCTCAGAGGCAGGCCTGCATGTCTGGTGACTGAGCACAGCATGGAGCCAGCAGCCTGAGACAACAGGGCTTTAATTCCTGCAGAAAACAACTCTGCATTTTTATCTGGCAGCTTCAACCAGGTCCAGAACCATTCAGGAATCACAGTTTTAGAAGCAAGCACATGGATGCAGATAATCCCTCTCCCAAAGCCCAGGAGAAACTCTGCCTCCCACACTGCAGTGTGTGGCTCAGATCACCTCATTCAGCAGCACGCCTTCATTTTCACTTGCTTCATGGAATTGTTCCTTCAGCTCCAGCCCACCTCCTCTCCACGTCTTGGCCAGGCTGGCTAAATTTTGTGGTTCACCAAAACTCACACTCCCCTTCAAGGCATCTACCAAATATTCTTCCACAGAAAGCTTGTCTGAACTGGTTTGCATGGACTGGTTGATGCATTTGGTGAAATTATATTCTAAGTTTAGGCCAGATAAGTGACTGTCTTGATAGTTGAGGTCACCGTGGAAGTATGTGTCCAGAGCATTCTGCTTCATGGCATGGAGAGGATTGTCCACATGTGGGAAATGGGGGGGAAGGATGTTGTAGGGAAAAGGATGGAGAGTCTCAGGCTGGGGAACAGTGTCTCTCTGTCTCCAAACATGATTAAGGCACTGAATAGGGCTGATCAGCTTGTGCAGTTCAGTTTTGTACTGGCTCCTTGGGGAATGGAGTTTGCCCATGGACAAGGGGGCATGGGCAGGCTTCTCAAAAGACAGTGGATCATAGCCCAAGTCCTTGTTAAATTCAGGAACCCAAAAACTGTTTCTGTAAAGAGTGCTTTGGTGGGATTCATCCTCCTAGAAAACAAAACCAAACAGCTGAGCAGGAACCTCAGTATAGACACCAAAATTCATCCAAGAACTGTTAGGAGTTTGCAGGGATAGTACAAAAGAAAGGCTGAAGATTCTCACCTGAACAGGAATTGGGGTGCAGCTCTCCTGTTCTGGAGTTCTTGGACTTCTTCTGCCAGCAGCCACAGGTTGTCCTTTCAGCTTGGATCTTTTCTTGTGCCGTTTCTTCTTGGCCCTGCCCCGGTGCCTCCCTCTCCAGGTGGGTGCCATCCTGCCCTCCGTGGCATGGGCCACATTGTTGGGGATGTGATCGAGACTGTCCGAGCGGCTGCTGGAAAGCAGAACACAGCAGGGCTCTGAGATGGGACAGCACAAACACAGCTCACATGGCACCTCCAACCCACAGAAGGAAAAGTAGCAGCTCTGCTAACTCAACAGAGAGCTAGAACACAGCTTCTTGCCTTCTAGTAGGGCTAAGTTCAAGGTCCAGGCCCAGCAGCACCTTGGCATTGTATAAAAGAAATGGTGAGGTGTGGGGGACACAAAACATTAAAGTGTCCCAGGGTTTACAGATTCTGGAAGAACAAGACTGGAATGTATAGTCACAGAATGGTTTGGGTTGGAAGGGATCTTAAAGCACATCCAGTGCCATGCCTGCCATGGCGGGGATACCTTCCACTACCCCACGTGGCTCCAAGCTCTGTCCAGCCTGGCCTTGGGCACTGCCAGGGATCCAGGGGCAGCCACAGCTGCTCTGGGCACCCTGTGCCAGGGCACCACCACCCTCACAGGGAGCAATTCCTTCCCAATATCCCACCTAACCCTGCCCTCTGGCAGGGGGAAACCATTCCTCTTGTCCTGTCTCTAACTCCTTTGTCCAAGTCCCTCTCCAGCTTTCTTTTATGTCTCTTTTTGAACATAGCAAAGAAGAGGGAAAAGTACTCCATGTCTTCAGGCTGCTCTGAGACAATTTGTTGTTGTGAACACAGAGATGATGGATAAATGCAGTCTATTCTAAAAATTATTAAAATTAATAAATGTTTTCATAATATCAATGCCCGCTCTAATTTGAAGGAAAAGAGCTTTGCACAGAGAAGAGGGATGACTAAGAGCACTCAAATAAAACAGCTTCAAAAAGCCAAAATGTTTTGGCTTGTAAAGCCCAATACTAAACATAATTTCTAAGAATGCATACAGATATATACAACACTCCAGCTGGGGTCTGCACAAAGAGATGAACTCTCAAGAGGGATATTTGCCTGCAGTTACTCAGGGCCAGAAAGAGATGGTCTCCTTTCAACTCAAACCATTCTGTGATACTATGATTCAATACCAATCACAGCAGTTAGATTTTTTAAATTAAGCTCTAAGAGAAAACAAGATTTTTGATCTTCAAATGAAGCAATTGTTCCATTGACTTGGAACAGTTCTGATACATTTCTCTGCCTTTCCTGATCAGTGATGCAGGGCACAGCCACTCTCTCCATCTTTTCCTGATATTTTAGTGCTAAAAGATGCCATAAGTAGAGTTCTGGCTGATGGCATCAGCATAGTGCCTTGAGCCTGAATACACAGCTGGTGTGCATCCCATAAAACCCCAGATGCCACATAAAAACCCCCAGAAATGGATCACTTAGCACTTCTTCAGATGGTCCATGGGGCCACATCATAAAGCCACTGGGCAGTATGAAACCACACGCCCCATAAGGTGTCTGAAGCCACTAGGAAACAGGCAGCACCTAACTCTGTACTCCAGTCACCCATTCCAGGGTGCTGGGGCTGCCTGACAGGGCTCCAGTTCATAAGAAAGCTCCAATATGTGCCCCAACAGGAAGATATTCTTCATTAAGAACAAGCAACTCACACCCAGGTGATTCCAGAAAAACAATTCCCAGGTCCCCACTTGTCCATCACAAGTGTCACTGTCCCTTTTACCACTTCCAGCTTCTCTGTGTTCACAGCTTCTGTTGTTGATGCTGTCATTAAGCAAAGGTTCTCTCATCCCCCTTCATCCTTCCAAGAAATTAAGCTGTTTCACACAGCTTTTCAGCAGATGGTGTGACAGTTTCAAAAGCATCAACACAGTTCAGCTAAAAAAGACTGAAAATTTCTCCTTGGATCCTTCTACTTCAAGACTATTAACCTTAAAAAAAAAATCAGTAGTTTCAAAATATATTTGACCATCCAGAAGGCTACAAGGGCAGTAAATCTGCAGGCATTGCCAATAAGGCAAGAGTGTTTCAAGTGATTTGTGCCTAAACCTGTATTTTTTCCTGTTAGGAAGATGTTTTGGGAAAGACACATTCTTACCAGGCCTCAGACTGAAGAGCTAATTCCAACAGGAGTGCTTTTGGAAAAAATATCTTAAGCGCAGAGAGCCAGGGTGATTTGGAACAAGGACAAGTCAGAAAACAGCAGTGAAGAGGGGTGTTTCTATTAAGAGGTCTCTCACCTGTAACGTTTACTGTGGGCAATAAAGGATCTCTCTGATAAAGTGGGGCTGAACTCCTGACTGTTTTCACCTGCATGAAAAAAAACCAGGATCATCACTTGTCTTAAACCAGGCAGTCTCTCCTAGTAACAACTGGACTTAAACAGCTCTGCCACTGTGCTAAATGAGTGATCCAGACAATCACTGCACAGTCATGTCCACCACCCACACTACATTCTTCCTCCCCCACAATTAAGAGGCTTCCCAGCTATCTCCTGATCCCGCAGCTCTTTCCCACATGACAGCTTTACTCTGGTTTCCTCCTCTTTATCCCCTCTTTTAAACACCTTTCAGAAGTCAGCTAAGAACAGGTGCCCCACAGGACACAGATCAGGTCGAGGTGCACAGGCCTCATGCTGGTCTGTTATTTATGCTTTATTCAGTGGATGCTGCTACATTATTAGGAGATTTCATGAGCTTCCTAAATAGAGTCTGGGATGTGTCATCAGCTCCACCCTCCTTGGGATTACAAATAGATGTGGCCTCAGCTCTCCAGGAGTGCCGAGGGAGTGAAATCTCATCCCTCTTTACACATTCCATTTTCTCAATGAAGCGCAGCCCGCCCTGCTACTCACATTCTGCTTGGGCAATAATAGAAATTGATGCACAGCCTCCTTCTGTTTCTTCTTTTGCTGTTCCTCTGGTGATTACATCATTCAGGATTTTCCACTGACTGTGAAAGATGACCTTCTTTGAATCTTCTACTTTGCAAACACTGCTCTGCTTTTCACTCACTGTCTCCTTCAGCCCCTCAGTAGCTGTGAGCTCCTTTTTGTGCTTGACGGCTGGATCAGGAGCTCCTTGACATACAATTCCCATCACGGCCATTTCCCAGCTTCAGGGAGACACTGAGCAAGAACAGAAAAACAAAACACTTGTCAAAATCCTTCACAGACAGAAGCAGCTTCAAGTTCATGAGAAACAGGAGGCTCCTGAAGGTATCAGATATATAAATAATTCAAATCAAGGTCCTGACCATGTTCTGAGCTGGAGAAGAACCCTGGAGTACCAGTCCTCCATTTTTGACTTGGACCACTGAAGATCTGAATATTCAACATTCTCATGACTGAAATTATGCAACCACACAGGTCTTGGGAGAAATTTAATTATTGGTATATTCCCTTAACTTAAATATAAACAGTGAAACCAAGGAGAAGAAGGAACTCCCATATCACTAAACAGGAAGAATATTCATCCCCAAAAAAAGGGAAAAAGCGAATACATGAAAGTTCTCCTAGAGTGCACCTGGGAGAAATGACACTGTGCTCTCACACCACATGAATGGCCATAAATCCAGCTAATTCCTTTTTCCTCTGTGCTCAGTCAATCTCAAAGCTATTTCTCATTCTCCCGCAATGAAGCCAGGCTCAACAGCCAACCTGCATATCCACAGATCCTCCCTCACTCCTCTCCTTCCTCTGCATCACCAACAACATCTGCAATCCTTGCTCAAGCCCATCAAAAATGGAGATCTTACAGCATGCAGGATCTATGGAAGTTGGTGTGGGATAGAGGACAGTGATAGAGCTGGAACAGACCCCTTTGCCTGAGGAGGGGATCAGCACAGACTGTGAGCTGACCAGGAACACAAATGGAGCTCCAAACAAGTCCCAGAACAGGCCAAACCTTGGCCAATTGGCAGCACAGGGGAAGGTGGAAGAGAGCTGGGGATGGAAAGTTAGAAGCATAAACCAGCATGGAAGCAAAGCACTGAGGGGCAGGATGGGGATACCCAGGGGTAAAAATCTGCAATGTGGAGAGAGATGAGCTCCCTACAGCACGAGCCCCTGGGGAATCCAGCTTTGGTGTAGCCCCTGATCCCCTCACCTTGGATTCTGGAGAAGTTAAAGCAGTTGTTTCCTTACAAATCAGAATGTGCTCTGCTGCCGCTTAGGTGCAGAGACCCCTTCCTTGTGGCTGTCAAGTGTAAAACCTTAAAATGAACATTTCCACCTTTAAACAACCCATGGAAGTTCAGAAACCTTGGGCAATGTATACAGGTGTTAAGTAGCACAAACCCAGGATAGGACAAGGAGGGATGTTTTAACAGAGGCCAGGAAAACAGACATCAGCATCATTACACCAGCACACCTTGAGGCTCATCAGCTTTAATCTACACAAATCTTTCTTCCTTTTTTTTTTTTTTTTTTCCTTTTCCTTTCCTTTTCCTTTTTTCTTTCCTATTTCCCCACCTTGTGCAGCTGCCTGAGGCAACAGGAGATTTACTCCAACAGGCTCCTGGCAATAGAGATGAATCAGGAAAATGACAAAATGAGTGGGTGCTCCATGTCTGAAGGACCACCAAGGAAAGGGGGAGGCATTTGGGAGCCAAGTGCATGAACCTTGGTGCTGTGAGTCACCTAACAACCTGGCAGGTATACAAGGAAAGTCAACAATGACCACATTCAGCAGCCAAACAGAGAACAGCTGCTGTGCAAAAGAAGTGCTGATGACAGTACCCCACTCATTAAGGCCGTCCCGCTCCCTCTCCTCTACAGAAATTATGTCAATTCTCAGGGCTGTAAAATAATCCCTTGGAGCAGCAGGAGCAGAGCCTGCCAGATGACTAACCCAGCCACCAGTGACCAAACTGACAAGTTCAGGGTTATTTTTATCCTCACTCTCTCCTGACTTGCATTAACTCTGTCTCTCCTTGCCCTCCCCTCACCCACAAGGTCCTTCAGGGCAAACCAGTCCCCATCGCCAAAAAATACATAATTCTACAAGTACCTCCTTGGTTAAGTCAAAGGAGAACAGAGAGAGGGGAGAAACAAAACTGCAAGTCCTTGTCGCTCTCTAAAATGGCAAAGAATAACAAGGAAACATAACTGAGATGAAAGTCAACAAAGTCACTTGCAGACTCAAAGAGACCGAGGCAGCAATTGTGAGCAACGGCCTCGAGCCGGGCAGAGCTCAAGCAGTTTAATGTGTGACTCAGGTCTGTGGGGCTGTGCAGGACCAGAACCTGCATGCCCAGCCTGGTTTAACTGTTGCTGCACAATTTTCAGTCCTTGGAAAAGACAAATGCCAAGTATTTTTATGGTGCATACAGCAAAGCATGGTGGGCAGAAGCTGTGATTAAAAATAAGCAATCAGAACTTTTAAACAGTTTTTGAAGTGTAACTTCTGCCTGGAGAAAAGGAGGCTCAGGGGAGACTTTTATTGCCCTCTACAGCTCCCTGACAGGAGGTTGAAGCAAACTGAGGGTTGGGCTCTGCTCCCAGAAAACAAGAGACAGGACATGAGGAAATGGCCTCAAGTTGTGTCAGAAGATGTTCAAGCTGGAAATTGGGAAAATTTCTTCACTGAAAGGGTTGTCAGGCATTGGAATGGGCTGCCAGGGCATTGGTTCAATCCCCATCCCTGGAGGTGTTCAAAAACCAAGCAGACATGGCAATTCATGATATGGCTTAGTGGGCACGGTGGGATTTGGTTGAAGTCTGGACTGAATGACCTTGAAGGTCTTTTCCAACCTCAGTGATTGTGTGATTCAGAACTGAACAGCCCTGACTCATCTCTGTGCACGTGGAAGGGGGCTAAGAGAGGTGCCAAGAGCTCCTGAGTCTCATGAATTCAGACACAGGCACTCAGTCTCTGCCCAGCCCACCCCACAGCCCTTTTCAGGGAGCTCCAGATAACAGGGAGCCTGGGCAGCAGCAAATGGGCACCCGAGGATCCGCAGGAAGCCCGCTAAGAGCAGGATTTACCCACATGAGACACTCTGGAGCTGCGGTTCCCCTGCCTGTTTATGAGCTCCAGGATGAGCACAGCTTCCTGTACAGACGAAGGGCACAGACAAGCAGCAGCAGGAGCTTCATGCTCCTGAGCTGCAGGGTGGCTGTGTCCTACCCAGAACTGCTTCTCCTCTCCCTCAGCCAGCTCACTTACATACAGCTGTAATCTTGATTTCCATACTCTGGACTTTCTTCCTTCTGTGGACATGTGATGGGCTCGTTATTTTCAAGGCAGAAAGGGGAAGTCAGGTAATGATGCAGGAGATAAGAGTGGATACTGCACTCCTAACCCACAACGGGCTTTTGATAGCAGCTTAAAGCCTGTTTGCTCCTTATCTTCACTAAGAGTTTACTCACCTTGGGTTAACTAATGTCAGTTCCCACTGCTGTAAAACAGAAAGTGTGTTTTTACAGAATGAAAGCCAAACAGTCTCAGTTGTGCTGTGAAGGCACCGATCTGATGGCAGCTCCTCCCTCAGCTAACGTGTGGGAGAAACTAAAATACCAGGTAAGGTCACCTGAGACTTGAAGGGAGTCAAGATAATGTTTGAGATACTCAAACATTATTAATGTAAGAGATAACCACGTGCTTACTGCTCCTTTAAAACTCCTCCCTCCTTCTCAATACAAGTTCCTCTTCAGCTCTTCCATCTCAGCTGGAAGATGTTTGGAGCAGGGACCTTAAGAAAGCATTTCTGTGTGTCATGAAGCTGTGAGAGGAACTCAGGGCTGGACAAGAGCCATGCAAACACCTTTCCAGCACTGCATCACTCCACAGCACATCATAAGATGGGATCCTCCTGCCTGGTGTGCCTGGTTCCAATCCCCATGGACAATAGCTTTGGAGAAAACTTCAGTTAATGCTTTGTAGATCAGCCCATACATTTGGTCAAAAAAGACTTGGGAAAGAGCTTTAAAATATATGTAAGACTTCCTAAGTCAATTCATAGAATGGAGATTTCTTCTCATCTGAGTGTACCCATTCAGCAGCAGTTTCACACTGACATTTAGTTTGAAAGGAAAGAAGAAGGTAAAAAATTATGCTGTCCCAGTGAGGTTTCCCACTTCCTTATGGAGAGGAGTTCTGTGCACAGAGCACTAAGTCAGGTTACCTTTGCAGCTGCTGCTGGTTTGGTCAAACACAAGGAGCATTTCTAGCCACGTTGTTTTGCTGACCACCACAACAAAGCAACAGCTGGGAAGAGCCAGGAATTTCTGCATCACTGAGCAGGGAATGTCAACTGAGAAGAACGCCACACACCTTTTGGGGACCTTCCAGTCCTAACAGCTGTCAGCGAGCATGGCAGAAAGTGCCAAGTCTGTAGTCAAAAGAACCAACACTTGCAAAATCCTTGTGCAAATCCACCAAACCTTGTCAAAGAGCAGGTTCTTCCAAAGGAAAAGAAAAAAATGATACCTGTTCCATGAATGGATCACATTAAAAATCTGGTTTGGGGCCAAAGGCATGTATGCATACATATAAATTTTAGATATATAAAAATAAATAAATAAATATAAAAAGGATTCCAGGCCAGGTTGGACAGGGCTTGGAGCAAACTGGGATAGTGGAAGGTGTCCCTGTCCATGGCAGGGGGTGGAATTGGATGAACTCTAAGGTCCCTTCCAACCCAAACCATTCCATAATTATTTGGACAAGCCCTTCAGAGCCCAGGCACCACTGCCCTCCATCCCTGGCTCCTCTCTGCCTGGATGCCACCCATGGGCTCCCCTGCCTGCCTATGTTTCAGATGGAACTGAAATTCAGACAGTTCCGGTTTTGGCCGAGGCAGTTTAAGGCCTGTTACTGTAGCCCAGGCCTGGGTGGAGATTTAAACTGCTCAGAGCTGTCAGCAGGACAAGTTTCAGTTTGTGTCAGAAGGGACTAAAAAAACCAGTTGTAGCACTCAACAGCCCCCCAACCTCAAAGCATACTTAATGCTGCTTTAAGTGAACATGTCTAAGGGGGGAAAAAAAAAAAAAAAAAAAAAAAAGATACTTCCCTTGTGTGTTTAAGAGCTCCAAAGTGAAAATAAATAGAATGCCTGAATGATTAAAATCCTGGTGAGTCAGAGCAGCAGTTGCTATTCCAGGGAGCTCTCAGCCTTCACCTCCCCTTCAATAACCACTGTGACCCATCTGGCCATTCCAGGGGCTCCTGCACAATCCCCTCGGGTCCCTCTCGTGGGGATCCACAGATTCACCTGAGGCACCAGAGAAAGCTAAAAACCTTCTCCCCACAGCACCACAAACTCTGTTTGAAGCACTGTACTATCAGCCCTATGTAGGAGCACGTCACATTACAAACGATAGGCAGTGTGTAAACATGTTCTTTAAAGTGGTTTGATAGTAAATACTCCCAAATCCTGTTTCAGCCACTGGTGTTGCTTACTGTAAACATCAGGATAATGAGCCTCAGTTGTTTTTTTTAGTTGCCAGACATTAAGATATTGCAATAGCTTGGTTACAAAATCTGCAGGGAAATATTTGACCGTGTTTAATTATCAGCAGATTTCTACAAGCACCCAAACACACCTTTATCCTCATTTCCTCGAGAACAGCCCGAGCACAGCTCACCCCTGAACAATTCTTTTCATGTTGCTGAACAAAGATATGAACACCACCATTTGCCCAGAGTTTACCAACACTGCCACAAGTCCATTCACTCAGAGAATGGCTAGTTTTTCCCTTAGCAAACAAGGAGAACAGAAATAATCAGAGCAAACTTCAGCCTGATAAGGATTTGCTTCCCAGCTGTTCTCACACAGCTCTCAGGCCACTTAACAACATCATGGCTTTGACAACCCACTCGTGAAGTCATTTCCTGAACTACAACAAAATGATACACTAAAGCACCTAAAGGGACAACTTCCACCAGCCACCACAGACACACCTGAAAATCAATTCTGCACAAGCAGGTGGAGCCAGGCTGTCACCAGTTGTTACTTTACACTGCTCTGCAGCTTTAAATTTCAATCATGTAAAATCCATGTAAATGTTTCTAAAATCCATGTAAATCTATGGGGATGCACTAAGGCTGGGAAGCCTTATTGCCAAAACCAACCCAAAAGTTCAATTAAATTTAGTATAGATATAAGCAGTTCTACGTGATCTTAATTTATGATTGGTCCTGCCAATTCAGTTGTGATTATAAAATCAAAATATGAACTGATAGGAATGATTTCTAATTGTCCAGCCTGAGCATACTCTCATGAGAGAAACTCCCACACAAACTGTGGAACAGAACTGCCTTTAGGCAAGACATGGTCCATTTTCTTCAGGGTCCTGATGTCACTAAATCATGATCAGCAAAGCCCACTCTCCCACAGATGCAATTCCCATGTGTCTGTCCCTCCATGCATCCTCATCTTGCTCTCCCAGCATCTCCAGACTCCTTTCCTAGCACAGGGCTCTTTTACTCCCAGCCAGCTGCTCATCTTAGAGCTTGGAAATCTTTCTGTCCTCCAGGCCTCGATCCCTCTATCTCCACCAACATATTTGACATTTGCCAGCAAAGTTCAAAAGTCACAGAAGGAAAGCTGATTTATGGTCACTTTGCCTCCATCCTCTTGGCAATTATAATAATAATTCAGCACCTCATCACTGCTACAACAGCTCAGCTCAACCCTCTCCCATTTAACATAGAAAGAAGACTCAGGCCAGACTCATTAACTTCAAGTTCATTAACTCCAGTGGTGTTGGATCAGGTCCCACAAACCCTTTAGGTTTTCAGTTATATTTGTTTGTTATGCTCCTTCACAGCGCTCTACAAGATTCAGTCTCTTAATACAGTTAAAATTTAATAGTTAATAGCAAGTGACTCATTCCCAAGGAATCCGGTGGCCGTGCCAATAACAGATTTCAACTGAGGTAAAATGCAATAAACCAGCTCACCACAGACACACTCAATTCAACTACCCTTATCACTAATGTCACAGCACAGAAGCGCAAATTATTACTCATGCAAGTGTTTAGAAAGTCAGATGAAAAAGAAATTCAGACTTTGTTTATAGGTGCTGGTTTCAGACTGCTGTGTCGTATGTGTGCAGAACACTCAACACATATTTCTAATGTAACCAGTTAAAGCCAACAGGAAGCATCTGAGATCAACCACAGCAGCAACTTATTAATCAGCAAAGAAACATATTAATCTTTTGCCAGAAAAAAAAAACAAAAAAACCCAAAAAAAAAAACCAGAAAAAAAAAAAAAAAAAGAGGCATTTAGTTGTGTCAAAGAGACGCTCGGATGGATGGTTCAGGTGAATTAAGGTCTGGGGCGGTTGTGTTGTGATGAGCTGAGCTCATCCCTGCCTCCTTCTCCCCTCTCCAGGGCCAGGGATCAGCGAAGTCCCTGCACCGCGGGCCCGGGGAGCCGGGAGCTCGGGGGACTGAGGGGCACCAGGAGATCAGAAAGCCGGGCTGCCCGGGGCACCGGGAGCTCGGGGCACCGGAGCCGCAGACTCGAGAACGTGCCGGGCAGCAGTGACATCCACGCTCCGAACACCCACCCGCGGTGCTGCGGCGGCGCCCGGAGAGCCCATCACCGCTCGGACCGCCCGGCTGGGCCCAGGCTCCTCACACGCTGCTCCCGCCGGCAGCCGCGGAAGCTCCGCCAGGCCCTACCGGGCAGATGCACCCCGCGGATCCCACACCGAACGCCGCACCCCGGGCCCAGATCCCGTCTCCGCGGCGGCGGCCGGTACCGCACCTACCGCTCCGGCTCGGCTCGGCTCGGCTCAGCCCGGTCCAGCCCGGGCCGGTTCCGCTCCGCTCGCCCGGCACAGCCCGGCGCGGCCCCTCAGGCCTCCTCGGCAGCTCCCGCTCACTGACAGGCGGCGCCCAGCCACGGCCCCGCCCCCGCCCCGCACAGCCAATCATGGCCCCGTCTCGCCGCATGACCCCGCCCCTCCTCCCACCGCGCCCAATCACCGCGCGCTCTTTGCCCCGCCCCCCCCCCCCGCCCCGCCCCCGCCGGCTGGGTTTCCCAGAAGTGGGCGGAGCTTTCTGCCAAGTAGGCCCCGCCCCACGGGCTCGCCGGGCGCCGCCGCGCCGCGCATGCGCGTCCGGCCGCGGGGGGCGGGGCCGCGAGCCGCCGCCGGTGCCCTCACGCTCGGCCGCCATGTTGGCCGTGGCTGTGGCCGGGCCCGGGCCCCGCCGTGTCTCTCGGTTCCTCCGGGCAGGGGGTGACAGGCGTGTTGAGGCCACCTCGGAGCCCCTCGCAGGTACCTCGGTGCCGCAGGAGCGCGTTTTCCCTGTCAGCAACCCTCCAAAGACTCGCCGATTACATTGCTCTTGCCTCCGGAAGCTGAGACATTCTACTGATTTTTTTTTCCTTGTCTAAGACTCCGTCGCCCTTTCCTGGTGAGATGGCAAGGGAAGGGCCGCAGGAGTGTGTACCCCCATGCCTCCGCTCCTCCCGGCCGTGGGGAGAAGGAGGTGCTGTGAGGAGATTTTCAAGTAGTCTAAGTTTATAATAACTCTGATCTCCCCTCTAAATGACACTTTATTGTTAGGGTTATACTTTGCCCAAGTACGGTTATGTTTTGCTTTGACACTAAAGGAAGGGGTGGGTGTGGGTGTCTTGGTTCTTGACTCAGGTGGGAGAGCCATGGGAAATGGATCATTTCAGAGGTAGTTTCAGAGCTTTCAAGAAAGGGTTCTGATGAACTTTAGAGGACCATAGAAACATGGATTGGATTTGATTGGAAGGGACCTTAAAGCCCATCCGGTGCCCCCACTGCCATGGCAGGGAAACCTCCCGCTGGCCCAGGCTGCTCCAAGCCCCCTCCAACCTGGCCTTGGGCACTTCCAGGCCTCCAGGGGCACCACAGCTGCTCTGGGCACCCTGTGCCAGGGACTCCCTGCCCTCACGGGGAAGAATTTAATCCAGTGCTTATTCCTTCTGGGTTTGGACTCCTCGTAGTGACACGCGAGCAGAGAATGATTCGCAGCTCTGGCAGAGTCTGTGTGTGAGAACCACAGGGATGGTGCTTGGAGCAGCCTTGGAATGGCCAGGATCAAGATCCCACATCCCTCACATTCAGCATACACTGGCTCTGCACAGGGGCCTCTTGCTCAAACTCCTTGCACAGTTTGGACAGAAATTTTAACTTCCAACAGTTGTTTCATCAGAGGATTCTATGTGTCAGTTGATGATTGAGTGTTGGTGGCACTCAATGATCTTAGAGGTTGTTTCCAACCTGAATGATTATATGGTTCTATGCTGTGTTGCAGAGCACAATATGTTGCCTGTTGCCTATTTAACTCTGGGTATGAGCCCCGAATTAAAAGAACCCATCACAGTAGGTCACAGTCATACCTCATGTGTTGTAGTCGACAGGATTTTCTGCAGGCTGCTCCAGGAATTGTGGAATTGGTTAAAGTGTGCATGGAAAATAGGGGTACTGAGGTTGCTCTCATCAGCTCAGCCCTCCAGGGAGAGCACTGGTGGATGAAGGTGGTTTTCAGTCCTCCCTGGAGCAGCTCTGGGTGGGGTGTGTGGAGAGAGTTGAGTTTTGCATTCATGTTCTGTGTGCTCTCATGTTTGAGCAGAACATGTTACGAGTCACAGAGCCTGGGATTCACACAACTTCCAACATCCCTGAGCATCCTTACAGAGCCAGAGACTGGTTTGGGTGGGAAGGGACCTGAAAGTTCCTCTGCTATGGGCAGGGACACATTCCACTTTCCCAGGGTGCTGCAAGCCTTATCCAACCTGGCCTTGGACACTTCCAAAGATCCAGGGGCAGCCACAGCTTCTCCCTTATGCCAGGGCCTCAACTCCCTCCCAGGGGAGCATTTCTTCCTGATTCAAGCTGAAAAAAACTTTGAAGTGAGGCAGGAGTTGTGATAATAGCTGCTCACAACATTTGACATAATTTGTCTTTAAAAGCCTGAGGTTATTTTTGCCAGAGTACTTGAGGTGATTGTGGTGTTGCATTTAGGAGTTTATTACCTTGATATTTTTATCACAGTGGAAAGAAGAGCAAATAAAGCTTTGACTAAATATAAAAGACCTTAATACCCATGTTGTGGGTTTGAACAAGCCACACTTTCCATTGGAGTTATGTTCTGTAGTTGTTGGGGATGAGGGAAGAAAGTCGGGGGACAAGACTGAGAAAAGCACATGTGGAGCTTGTCACAAGCCCAGGTTCAACACTGAAATCCAGAATACAGCTTTTCTCTTGTGGTTAAATTGTGTGAAATGAATCAGTGGTCTCAGTGTTACTGGCAGAGAAGTTTGTCATTCTTGGAGCTGTAAAGAATGCCTTGAAGGCACGAATGAAGTTTGATTGGTGTAACAATGACGCTGCAGTCAGCGAGCCGCGGTCACGGCACAGGTACAGCTCAGAGATG